GCTTCTGCCTCAAAGCATTTAAAAGGATCCTTTAAATGCTTTGGGAGAAGTGGGGGGTTGCACATGAAATTCAGTGTCCCACGACTTTTTAAAAGGCCCCCCAAACTAAAAAAATCCTGGCTACGGGCCTGCTGCTTGTTGCCACAGAAACCAGTTTTACAATTTTCGTGATGTGATTTTTCTCTAGCATTTGTTTATCTAGTGCATGTTGGAGTTCTTCATCCTGTTCATTTTATGGCTGGCAAAACTTCTTGTGAGCAAGAAGAACAAGCATATTCCTACAGGGACCAAATGAAAAGGTATTTCAAAGGCTGGCAAACCACCAGCCCATTAATTTTGAACATTTTGACCTGGGTCATAAAGTAGACAGGCACAGCTGATGGAAAGTATTAGCAGTTAGCAGTCATGATTAAAAGAAAGACAGAAAAACCGTATTAGCAGTTAGCAGTCATGATTAAAACAGTTAAAGAAAGACAGAAAAAACCATCTTTCAGCAATGAATTCTTCCGTTTTTCATTTTAGATGAGATGCAGGACTCGATGGAATCCAAAATGAAAAAGGCCTGTCCAATGGCCTTTATGTACTTGTGCAGCCATTATAACTTCTCTGTATCTATAAGAAACTACTGTAGCCTTGAGGGGACGAATCATGCATTTCCTGACACTTTACTTGGCACGCAGAAGGTTCCAGGGTCAGTCTCTGGCATCTCCAGTTAAAAGGTCAGGTAGTCAGTGAGGTTAAAGACGCAGGGTTCGACAGCTGCTGTTTGTCTGAGTAGACAATACTGACCTTAATAAACCCATGTCTTCCTGTGTGTTCAGGTGACCTGGTGATCTCAGTGGAGGCTACTGGGACAGCAGAGATATGGAATTCACATGACAGCCAAGTACCCTAGATCAGCCATATTTGTGTGGTGCTGTTCATTAACTCCATGGAACCTGAGTCTTCAAGGATGAATCAGGCTTTCGTCACCATCCCCTTCACCTTTCCATTCAATTAAACTAGGTGGCAGCAGGAGGGAGGGCCTGTTTGTGGCAGTACCTGTGTGCCAACTCTAGTGATGATATCGTCACCAGATAACACCAGATGGTGATGATGTCATCACGAGGGAGCCAACTAGCTTCAAAACAACTGTCCTGGTTGTTTTGGGGTTGTCTGCCTACCTTTCCAGAAAAGGAAGAAATCCAGTTTTTTGCCATGACAAGTTTTCCTTAATTACTTATTCTTACAATTATGCTACATTTTATTAGTTTTATTCATACTGTAGACTGGACACACTGGGTTCTTGGTCACACAGAGAGTGTCACGAATGCGATACTAGGCCAGGCAAGAGCAAGAGAGTCCAAAGGCATTCCAAAGTCAAAACCGGGCAAACAGCAATACCGAGAGTCCAAGTCCAAATCACCAACCGTTAGAGTAGTCGTTAAAGTCAAAGTCCAAAGAAGTCAGAAGCCAGAGAGTCAGAGGTCTGAAGTGTAGGTCAGGAGCGGAGTCGTGCGAGTCGAGGTCAGGAGCCGAGAAGTCAAGATATCTACCCTGAATTTCCATCTTTAGGGGAAGGGTGTATAGAAATTTTGATTTCTGCTTTCTATAATCCATGCCTTCTCCTGTGATGTCTTTCTGATAACATGCTGTGTCTTATTTCCTCTCGCAAGCCAAATGGCCTGACCATTTGGCCAGAGAAACTTTATAACCATGCCATATAACCTCACATTCTTTCACACCTCTAAGTGGAAGAGGCAGACCTGATGGCTTCTGGCTCTGCCTCACATGCAAAAAGTCACGTACATCATGGAGAAGCTGGAAGCTGGGTCACCTGACTGCAGGAGGAGCCTCCAAACTTCTAGCCAATCCTATGTTGCAGCTATGACAACCAACAATTGGGCACATCCCCTGTCCACTCGTGATTGGCTGCATGGCCATGGCTAATCATGACTGGATGGGGGTATAATTGTTTGATCCCAATGAGAGAGAGTCTCTGCTCCTGCTCTCTCTTAGCTCTCTCCCTTCTTGTCAGTGTATGTTTATTGCAC